CCTCGTAACAACCTTTGCTCTTGGAGCCGATGCCCCCGAAGGTCCCGAATTTCACCTTGGGCGCCCTGGGCTCTCCCGCCGGGCCCCGCGAGGCCGAGGCGTCGTCGCTGAAGGACGACGAGCGCGGCCGCTGCTTCCTGGGCCGGAACAGGGAGAATTTCCCCTTGGCCGACGGCGCCTCGGCCTCGGCGTCGCCCTCGGCCGAGCCCAGGCTGGCCTTGGAGCTCTTCAGGTCCCCCCGGGACCCCGAGACGGACCCCGAGGCCTCGGGGGAGCCGGGGGCGCCTCCGCCGCCCGCCCGCCCTTTCTGCTTGGAGAAGTTGAACTTGGGCATCTTGAGTTTGGATTTCTTGAGCCGCCCCTCGGCCTCGTCCGGCTCCGGCTCGGCCGCCACGTCGGCCGCGGGGAACTCGACGTCCACTCCCACCTCCCGGCCCTTGGCCTCGGCGTCGGAGAAGACGAATTTGGGCATCCGCAGCTTGGGGAAGGACACCCTGACCTGGCCGCCCTCGGGCCCTGCCGTGCCCACCCTGGGGCCGCAGAGGTGGAAGGTCCCGCCGCCGGCCTCGCCCCCGACCTTCACCTTCGGCCCTTTGGCGTTGACGTTCAAGCCTGAGCCCGAAACCTCCAGCTCGGCCCGAGGGGACTCCAGGCCGACCTTCGGGGCTTTGATGTCGCCGGACACGTCCACGCTCGGTCCCTTCAGCCTCAGGTCGACGTCGGGCCCTTCCAGCCCCACAGAGGAGCCCTTCAGCCCCCCCTTGGCCTGGGGGCCTTCCAGAGCCACGGCCACGTCCCCTCCCTCCATGCCGGGGCCGGAGACGCCGAACTGGGGCAGCTTCAGGGACGGGAGTTTGATGGTGCCCCCCAGGATCTCGAAGTCGGCGTCGCCCGCCGACGTCTCTGGGGATTTGGCGCCCAAATCTCCTTTCAACTTTGGTCCTTTCAGGCTGACATCCAGATCCGGGGCGGAGAGGGCGAGGTCGGCCCCGGGGGACTGGGAGCCCACCTCCACTTTTGGGACAGAGCAGGAAACGCCCCCCTTCGGCAGCTTCACCTTCCCCCCTAAACCTCCCAGGTCAACTCTGGGCCCTTCCACGGAGCCCGAGACATCCAACTCTCCCTTCAACTTTGGTCCTTTCAGGTTCCCCTCAAGCTCCGGGCCGGAGATTTGGGGCCCTCTGAGCTTCACGTCAGTCCCGGGCACATCCAAGCTCACCCCCGGCATTTCCAGCCCCACTCCCCCTTTCCCTCCTTTGGGCCACCCCACTTTTCCCTCGGGGCCTTCCAGTTCTGCTCCAGAAAAGCCGATTTCCCCTTTCACTTTTGGTCCTCTCAGGCTCAACTCCGGCACCTCGACCCCCTTCAGGTCCCCCCCGACCTTCCCGTCCCCCACACCCACCTGCCCCCCGGGGATTTTGAGCTTCGGGGCCTTCAGGTTCACGTCAGGAACTTCCACGTCCACACCGAGCCCTGACCCCTCCACCGCGGGCATGGAGACCTCCAGGCCCGGTGCTCGGAGCTCCCCCTCCGCTTTGGGGACCCCCCCGGACACCTCCCCTCGGAACCGGTGCGATTTCAGGTCGAACTCGACGTCTGGGAAGGAGATCTTGCCAAACATGGGCTTCTTCCCCTTGGGGGACTTGACGGCGGCGTCGGGGCCGGCCACGCCGAGCTCCCCGTCCAGCTCGGCCCCGGCCGCCGTCACGTCGAACGCCCCCTTCTTGCCCTTCACTTTGGGGCCGCTCATGTGGATTTTGGGCATCTTGAACTTGCTCTTCTTGCCCTTGGCCGACAGGTTGGCCTCGGGGGGCTCCAGGCTCAGCTCCGCCTCGGGGAGATCCACGTCGGCCTTCGGGCTCTTCATCCCGAACCCGAACTTGGACTTCTTGAACTTGGGGAGTTTGACGTTGGCCTCGGGGCCCTCCACGCTCAGGTCGGGACATTCCACCTCCACTTCGGGGCCTTTGACCCCCAATTCCGGCCCTTTCAGGTCGACCTCAGGCCCTTTCAGGTGACCTTCCACCTTAGGGGGGGAAAGGTCAAAGCCCCCCTTGGTTTTGTGGCCTTTCAGGTTCAAGTCTATCTCGGGCATGGAGATTTTGGGGACGTTCACGTGCATTTCGGGCATTTTCAGCTTCGGGCCCTTCACTTTTCCCTCGGGGCCCTCCAGGCTCACCTCGGGGACGCCGAGCTCCACCCTGGGGCCCGAGAGCTCGGCCTCGGCCTTCGGCAAGTCCACGTCCACCTCGGGGCCTTCCCCCTTGAAGCCGAATTTGGGCATTTTCATTTTGGGCAGCTTCACTTTCCCCTCCAGCCCATCGACGTCGACCGCCGGGCCCTCAATATCGACCTTGGGAGCCTTGATGTCGACTTTGGGAGCCTTGATGTCGACCTCGGGACCCTTCAAACTCCCCTCGAGCTTCGGGCCGTGGAATTCGGCGTCGCCTTTGCCCTTCAAGCCCTTCAAGTTCAAGTCAATGTCAGGCATGGAGATCTGGGGGGTCTTGAGGTGCATCTCGGGCATCTTGATCTTGGGTCCTTCCACGGTCACCTCGGGGGCCCCAACGTCCAGTTTGGGGCCTTTGAGGTCGAGGTCCGGGCCCTGCAGGTTCCCCTCCACGCTCAGGTCTCCCTTGACCTTGGGACCCTTCAGGTTGAAGTCGACGTCAGGCATGGAGATTTTGGGGGCCTTGATGTTCATCTCGGGCATCTTGAAGTTGGGGCCCTTGAGTTTCCCCTCAGGCCCTTCCAGGGTCACGTCGGGAGCCTCAAGGTCGATTTTGGGGCCTTTGAGGTCGATCTGGGGGGCTTGGAGGTCCCCCCCCAGCCCGGGGGCCGAGAGGTCGACGTCCCCTTTCAGGTGGGGGCCTTTGATGTTGAAGTCGACGTCGGGCACGGAGATTTTGGGGGCCTTGACGTTCACCTCGGGCAGGGAGAATTTGGGACCTTTGACCTTCCCGTCCACGCTCAGATCAGGAGCCTCCACGTCCACCTCGAGGTCGCCCTTGGGGAGGGTCACGTCCACCTCCGGCCCCTCCCCTTTGAACCCGGGCATAGAAAATTTGGGCATCTTGAATTTGGGGAGTTTGAATTTGCCCTCCGGGCTGTCCACGTGGACATCGGGGGCGGCGACGCTGACCTGGGGACCCTTCAGTTCACCCTCGACCCCTGGCAGGGTCACGTCAACATCCCCCTTGACCTTGGGGCCCTTCAGGTTCAGATCCAGGTCCGGCATCGAGATTTTGGGGGCCTTGATGTGCATCTCGGGCATCTTGAACTTGGGGCCCTTCACTTTCCCCTCGGGCAGCTCAACATCCACCTCTGGACCCTCAATGTCCACCTTGGGACCGGACACATCCAGGTTTCCTGTGGGCAGCGTCACGTCCACCTCGGGCCCCTCTGCTTTGAAACCGGGGACTCCAAATTTGGGCATCTTGAACTTGGGGAACTTGATTTTGCCTTCTGGGCCGTGAATGTCAGCATCAGGGGCCTCAATGTCCACCTTGGGGCCCTTGATGTCCAGCTCAGGGCCTTTCAAGTCACCTTCTAGTTTAGGGACTGACACATCCATGTCTCCTTTGATCTTGGGGCCCTTCAGGTTGAAGTCGACGTCGGGCATGGAGATTTTGGGGGCCTTGATGTGCATCTCGGGCATCTTGAACTTGGGGCCCTTGATCTTCCCCTCAGGCCCTTCCAGCTCAACATCAGGAAGATCAACATTGACTTTAGGTCCTTTGATGTCAATGTCTGGGCCCTTTAAATCTCCTTCCATCTTGGGCAGAGTCACATCCACATCTCCCTTCACTTTGGGGCCTTTCAAGTTCAAGTCGATGTCGGGCATGGAGATCTTGGGGGTCTTAAAGTGCATCTCGGGCATCTTGAACTTGGGGCCTTTCACCTTCCCCTCGGGCAGCTCAACATCCACCTCTGGACCCTCAATGTCCACCTTGGGACCGGACACATCCAGGTTTCCTGTGGGCAGCTCCACATCCACACCAGGGCCTTCAGCCTTGACCCCGGGCATCCCAAACTTGGGCATCTTGAACTTGGGCATCTTGAACTTCCCCTCCGGGCCGTGAATGTCGACGTCAGGGGCCTCGATGTCCACCTTGGGGCCCTTGATGTCCAAGTCAGGGCCCTTCAGGTCACCTTCCAGTTTAGGCACTGACACATCCACATCTCCCTTCACTTTGGGGCCCTTCAGGTTGAAGTCAACATCAGGCATCGAGATTTTGGGAGCCTTGATGTTCATCTCGGGCATCTTGAACTTGGGGCCCTTCAGTTTCCCTTCAGGCCCTTCCAGCTCAACATCAGGAAGGTCAACATCGACTTTGGGGCCTTTAATGTCTATTTCAGGACCTTTCAGGTCACCTTCCACCTTGGGAAGGGACACATCCACATCTCCCTTCACTTTGGGGCCCTTCAGGTTCAGGTCGATGTCGGGCATGGAGATTTTGGGGGCCTTGATGTTCATCTCGGGTATCTTGAACTTGGGGCCCTTGATCTTCCCCTCTGGACCCTCAATCTGAACATCTGGGGCAGAAACATCCAACTCAGGGCCCTTCAGGTCCCCTTCAAGCTTGGGCAGGGACACATCAACATCCCCCTTCACTTTGGGGCCCTTCAGGTTCAGGTCAAAGTCGGGCATGGAGATTTTGGGGGCCTTGAAGTGCATCTCGGGCATCTTGAACTTGGGGCCCTTCAGTTTTCCTTCAGGTCCTTCCAAGTCGACGTCTGGAAGGTCAACATCAACTTTGGGGCCCTTGATGTCAATGTCTGGGCCCTCCAGCTTTGGCACTGACACATCCACATCTCCCTTCACTTTGGGGCCTTTCAAGTTCAGGTCGATGTCGGGCATGGAGATTTTGGGGGTCTTAAAGTGCATCTCGGGCATCTTGAACTTGGGGCCTTTCACCTTCCCCTCGGGCAGCTCAACATCCACCTCTGGACCCTCAATGTCCACCTTGGGACCGGACACATCCAGGTTTCCTGTGGGCAGCGTCACGTCCACCTCGGGCCCTTCGGCCTTGACCCCGGGCATCCCAAACTTGGGCATCTTGAACTTGGGCATCTTGAACTTCCCCTCCGGGCCGTGAATGTCGACGTCAGGGGCCTCGATGTCCACCTTGGGGCCTTTGATGTCAATGTCAGGGCCCTTTAAGTCGCCTTCCATCTTGGGCAGGGACACATCCACATCTCCCTTCACTTTGGGGCCCTTCAGGTTGAAGTCGACGTCAGGCATGGAGAACTTGGGGGCCTTGATGTGCATCTCAGGCATCTTGAACTTGGGGCCCTTCACCTTCCCCTCAGGCCCATCAATGTCCAGTTCTGGACCCTCAATGTCCACTTTGGGGCCTTTGATGTCGACGTCCGGCAGCGTCACATCCCCCTCGAGTTTTGGCACCGACAGATCGACGTCCACCCCCCCTTTCAGTTTGGGACCCTTCAGGTTCAAATCCAGGTCTGGCATGGACAGGTTGGGGGCTTTGATGTTCATCTCAGGCATCTTGAACTTGGGGCCTTTGATTTTTCCTTTGGGGCCTTCGACGTCGAGGTCGGGACCTTCCACCTCCACTTTGGGGCCCTTCAGGTCCACCTGGGGGAGGGACACGTCCACATCCCCCTTCACTTTGGGGCCCTTCAGGTTCAGGTCGATGTCGGGCATGGAGATTTTGGGGGCCTTGATGTTCATCTCGGGCATCTTGAACTTGGGGCCTTTGATCTTCCCCTCAGGGCCTTCAACATCCACCTCAGGGCCTTCCACGTCCACCTTGGGGCCCTTGATGTCCACGTCGGGGCCCTTCAGCTCCCCTTCCAGTTTGGGGCCGGACAGGTCCAGCTCCCCTTTCATTTTGTGCCCTTTCAGGTTCAGTTCCACGTCCGGCATCGACACTTTGGGGGAGGAAATGTTCAGGAAAGGCATCTTGAACTTGGAGCCTTTGGATTTGGCCTGGACATCCAGATCCGGAGCCTGGACCTCGACCTTGGGGCCGGAAACATCCACCTCGGGTTTCTTCAGCTTCACATCCACCTCGGGGCTCTGCACTTTGGGGCCGGAAAAGCCGAATTTGGGGAGTTTGAAGCGGGATTTTTTAGCTTTTCCTTCCAGGTCCACCTTCGGCCCCTCGACCTCGAGCTCCGGCCCTTTGATGTCCAACTTGGGGCCTTTCAGCTCCCCCTCGACTTTGGGGCCCTTCAGGTTGAGGTCGATGTCAGGCATGGAGATTTTGGGGACGTTGAACTGCAGCTCTGGCTTCTTGAATTTGGGGCCCTTCAGTTTTCCTTCGGGCCCTTCCACCTCCAGGTCGGGGAGGGAAACATCGACCTTCGGACCCGAAACAGAGAGGTCGGCGTCGGGCAGGCTCAGGTCCACCTCGGGGCCTTCAACTTTGGGGCCAGAAAACCCAAACTTGGGCATCTTGAACTTGGGCATCGTGATTTTGCCTTCTGGGCCGTGAATGTCGACGTCAGGGGCCTCGATGTCCACCTTGGGGCCCTTGATGTCCAAGTCAGGGCCCTTCAGGTCACCTTCCAGTTTAGGCACTGACACATCCACATCTCCCTTGATCTTGGGGCCCTTCAGGTTGAAGTCGACGTCGGGCATGGAGAATTTGGGGGCCTTGATGTGCATCTCGGGCATCTTGAACTTGGGGCCCTTGATCTTCCCCTCAGGCCCTTCCAGTTCAACATCAGGAAGATCAACATCGACTTTGGGGCCCTTGATGTCAATGTCTGGGCCCTTCAGGTCACCTTCCAGTTTGGGAACAGACACATCGACATCACCCTTGATCTTGGGGCCCTTCAGGTTGAAGTCGACGTCAGGCATGGAGAATTTGGGGGCCTTGATGTGCATCTCGGGCATCTTGAACTTGGGGCCTTTCACCTTCCCCTCGGGCAGCTCAACATCCACCTCTGGACCCTCAATGTCCACCTTGGGACCGGACACATCCAGGTTTCCTGTGGGCAGCGTCACGTCCACCTCGGGCCCTTCGGCCTTGACCCCGGGCATCCCAAACTTGGGCATCTTGAACTTGGGCATCTTGAACTTCCCCTCCGGGCCGTGAATGTCGACATCAGGGGCCTCGATGTCCACCTTGGGGCCCTTGATATCCAGGTCCCCCTCCAGCTTGGGGAGAGAAACATCAACGTCCCCTTTGACTTTGGGGCCCTTCAGGTTGAAGTCGACGTCGGGCATGGAGAACTTGGGGGCCTTGATGTGCATCTCGGGCATCTTGAACTTGGGGCCCTTCACCTTTCCCTCAGGCCCTTCCAGCTCAACATCGGGAAGGTCAACGTTGACTTTGGGTCCCTTGATATCAATATCTGGACCCTTTAAATCTCCTTCCATCTTGGGAAGAGAAACATCCACATCTCCCTTCACTTTGGGGCCTTTCAGGTTCAAGTCGATGTCGGGCATGGAGATTTTGGGGGTCTTAAAGTGCATCTCGGGCATCTTGAACTTGGGGCCCTTGATCTTCCCCTCAGGCCCTTCCAGCTCAACATCTGGAAGGTCAACATCGACTTTGGGGCCTTTGATATCAATGTCTGGGCCCTTTAAATCTCCTTCCATCTTGGGCAGAGACACGTCCACATCTCCCTTGACCTTGGGACCTTTTAGGTTGAAATCAATGTCGGGCATGGAGATTTTGGGGGCCTTGATGTGCATCTCGGGCATCTTGAACTTGGGGCCCTTGATCTTCCCCTCAGGCCCTTCCAGCTCAACGTCGGGAAGGTCAACGTTGACTTTGGGCCCCTTGATATCAATATCTGGGCCCTTCAAATCTCCTTCAAGTTTTGGAACAGAAACATCGATGTCCCCTTTCAATTTGGGGCCCTTCAGGTTGATGTCGACATCAGGCATGGAGAATTTGGGGGCCTTGATGTGCATCTCGGGCATCTTGAACTTGGGGCCTTTCACTTTCCCCTCGGGCAGCTCAACATCCACCTCTGGACCCTCAATGTCCACCTTGGGACCGGACACATCCAGGTTTCCTGTGGGCAGCGTCACGTCCACCTCGGGCCCCTCTGCTTTGAAACCGGGGACTCCAAATTTGGGCATCTTGAACTTGGGGAACTTGATTTTGCCTTCTGGGCCGTGAATGTCGACGTCAGGGGCCTCGATGTCCACCTTGGGGCCCTTGATGTCCAGCTCAGGGCCTTTCAAGTCACCTTCTAGTTTAGGGACTGACACATCCACATCTCCTTTGATCTTGGGGCCCTTCAGGTTGAAGTCGACGTCAGGCATGGAGATTTTGGGGGCCTTGATGTGCATCTCGGGCATCTTGAACTTGGGGCCCTTGATCTTCCCCTCAGGCCCTTCCAGCTCAACATCAGGGAGATCAACGTTGACTTTGGGGCCCTTGATGTCAATGTCTGGGCCCTTCAGGTCACCTTCCAATTTGGGAACAGACACATCGACGTCTCCCTTGATCTTGGGGCCCTTCAGGTTCAGGTCGATGTCGGGCATCGAGATCTTGGGGGTCTTAAAGTGCATCTCGGGCATCTTGAACTTGGGGCCCTTCACCTTCCCCTCGGGCAGCTCAACATCCACACTTGGCATCTCCACGTCCACCTTGGGCAGGGAAACGTCGACGTCCCCCTTGGGCAGCGCCACGTCCACCTCGGGGCCTTCTCCCTTCAGCCCAAACTTGGGCATCTTGAACTTGGGCATCTTGAACTTCCCCTCTGGGCCGTGAATGTCGACATCAGGGGCCTCGATGTCCACCTTGGGGCCCTTGATTTCCAAGTCAGGGCCCTTCAGGTCACCTTCCAGTTTGGGAACAGAAACATCCACATCTCCCTTCAGTTTGGGACCCTTCAGGTTCAGGTCGATGTCGGGCATGGAGATTTTGGGGGCCTTGATGTTCATCTCGGGCATCTTGAACTTGGGGCCCTTGATCTTCCCCTCAGGCCCTTCCAGTTCAACATCGGGGAGATCAACGTCGATTTTGGGGCCTTTGATGTCGATGTCTGGGGCTTTCAAGTCACCTTCCAGTTTGGGAAGGGAAACATCCACATCTCCCTTGACTTTGGGGCCCTTCAGGTTCAGGTCAAAGTCCGGCATGGAGATTTTGGGGGCCTTGATGTTCATCTCGGGCATCTTGAACTTGGGGCCCTTGATCTTCCCCTCTGGACATTCCAGCTCAATGTCTGGAGCCTCGACGTCCACTTTGGGGCCTTTCAGTGAAACCTCCGGCCCCTTCAGGTCCCCTTCGAGCTTGGGCAGGGACACATCGACGTCCCCCTTCACTTTGGGGCCCTTCAGGTTCAGATCGAAGTCGGGCATGGAGATTTTGGGCGCCTTGAAGTGCATTTCGGGCATCTTGAACTTGGGGCCCTTCACCTTCCCCTCTGGCAGCTCAATGTCCACGTTAGGAGCTTCAATGTCCAGTTTGGGGCCTTTCAACTCCACCTCGGGGCCCTTCAGGTCCCCCTCCAGTTTGGGGACGGAAACATCGACGTCCCCCTTGAGTTTGGGGCCTTTGAGGTTCAAATCGATGTCGGGCATGGAGATTTTGGGGGTCTTGAAGTGCATCTCGGGCATCTTGAACTTGGGGCCCTTCAGCTTCGCTTCTGGACACTCCAGGTCGATGTCGGGGACGTTGACATCCACTCTGGGGCCCTTGATGTCGAGTTCTGGGCCCTTCAAATCACCTTCAATTTTCGGGACTGACACGTCCACATCCCCCTTAACTTTGGGGCCCTTCAGGTTCAGGTCAAAGTCTGGCATGGAGATTTTGGGGGCTTTAAAATGCATTTCGGGCATCTTGAACTTGGGGCCCTTCAATTTTCCTTCAGGTCCTTCCAGATCAACGTCGGGAAGGTCGACGTCAACTTTGGGGCCCTTGATTTCAACGTCAGGGCCTTTCAGGTCTCCCTCCAGCTTGGGAAGGGACACGTTCACGTCCCCCTTCACTTTGGGGCCCTTCAGGTTCAGGTCAAAGTCTGGCATGGAGATTTTGGGGGCCTTGATGTTCATCTCGGGCATCTTGAACTTGGGGCCCTTCACCTTCCCCTCTGGCAGCTCGAGTTCCACGTCAGGAACATCCACATCTACTTTGGGTCCTTTCAACTCCACCTCTGGCACTTTCACCTCACCCTCTATTTTTGGGGCAGAAACATCCACATCCCCCTTCAGTTTGGGGCCTTTCAAGTTGAGGTCGATGTCGGGCATGGAAAATTTCGGGGCCTTGATGTTCATCTCCGGCATTTTTATCTTGGGCCCTTTCCATTTCCCATCGGGGCCTTCAAGGTCAACGTCGGGAACGTCGACATCGACCCTCGGACCTTTAATATTCACATCCGGACCTTTCAGGTCACCCTCCAGTTTGGGAACAGAGACATCAACCCCCCCCTTCACTTTGGGGCCCTTCAGGTTCAGGTCGATGTCGGGCATCGAGATCTTGGGGGCCTTGATGTTCATCTCGGGCATCTTGAACTTGGGGCCCTTCACCTTCCCCTCGGGCAGCTCAACATCCACACTTGGCATCTCCACGTCCACCTTGGGCAGGGAAACGTCGATGTCCCCCTTGGGCAGCGCCACGTCCACCTCGGGGCCTTCTCCCTTCAGCCCAAACTTGGGCATCTTGAACTTGGGCATCTTGAACTTCCCCTCCGGGCCGTGAATGTCGACATCAGGGGCCTCGATGTCCACCTTGGGGCCCTTGATGTCCAGGTCTGGGCCCTTCAGGTCACCTTCCAATTTGGGAACAGAAACATCCACATCTCCCTTCACTTTTGGGCCTTTCAAGTTCAGGTCGATGTCGGGCATGGAGATCTTGGGGGTCTTAAAGTGCATCTCGGGCATCTTGAACTTGGGGCCTTTCACCTTCCCCTCAGGCAGCTCAACATCCACCTCTGGACCCTCAATGTCCACCTTGGGACCGGACACATCCAGGTTTCCTGTGGGCAGCTCCACATCCACACCAGGGCCTTCAGCCTTGACCCCGGGCATCCCAAACTTGGGCATCTTGAACTTGGGCATCTTGAACTTCCCCTCCGGGCCGTGAATGTCGACATCAGGGGCCTCGATGTCCACCTTGGGGCCCTTGATGTCCAAGTCAGGGCCCTTCAGGTCACCTTCCAGTTTAGGCACTGACACATCCACATCTCCCTTCACTTTGGGGCCCTTCAGGTTGAAGTCGACGTCGGGCATGGAGATTTTGGGGGCCTTGATGTTCATCTCGGGCATCTTGAACTTGGGACCCTTCAGTTTCCCTTCAGGCCCTTCCAGCTCAACATCAGGAAGATCAACATCGACTTTGGGGCCCTTGATGTCAATGTCTGGGCCCTTCAGGTCACCTTCCAGTTTGGGAACAGACACATCAACATCCCCTTTGACCTTGGGGCCCTTCAGGTTGAAGTCGACATCCGGCATCGAGATCTTGGGGGTCTTAAAGTGCATCTCGGGCATCTTGAACTTGGGGCCTTTCACTTTCCCCTCGGGCAGCTCAACATCCACCTCTGGACCCTCAATGTCCACCTTGGGACCGGACACATCCAGGTTTCCTGTGGGCAGCGTCACGTCCACCTCGGGCCCTTCGGCCTTGACCCCGGGCATCCCAAACTTGGGCATCTTGAACTTGGGCATCTTGAACTTCCCCTCTGGACCATGAATATCAACATCTGGGGCCTCAACGTTGACTTTGGGGCCCTTGACGTCCAGTTCGGGGCCCTTCAGGTCACCCTCCAGCTTTGGCACTGACACATCCACATCTCCCTTCACTTTGGGGCCTTTCAAGTTCAAATCAATGTCGGGCATCGAGATTTTGGGGGTCTTAAAATGCATCTCGGGCATCTTGAACTTGGGGCCCTTCACTTTTCCTTCGGGACCTTCAATGTCCACCTCTGGACCTTCAATGTCCACCTTGGGACCGGACACATCCAGGTTTCCTGTCGGCAGCGTCACGTCCACCTCGGGGCCTTCTCCCTTCAGCCCAAACTTGGGCATCTTGAACTTGGGCATCTTGAACTTCCCCTCTGGGCCATGAATGTCGACGTCGGGGGCCTCGATGTCCACCTTGGGGCCCTTGATGTCCAGGTCTGGGCCCTTCAGGTCACCCTCCAGCTTTGGCACCGACACATCCACGTCTCCCTTGATCTTGGGGCCCTTCAGGTTGATGTCCACGTCGGGCAAGGAGATCTTTTGGGGCTTGATGTGCATCTCGGGCATCTTGAACTTGGGGCCCTTCACCTTCACCTTCCCCTCGGGCCCCTCCACGTCCAGGTTGGGCCCCTCGACATCCACCTTTGGCCCCTTCACGTCCACCTGCGGCCCTTTCACGTCCCCTTCCACCTTCAGACCTTCCACATCCACCTCTCCCTTCACTTTGGGGCCTTTCAGGTTCAGATCCACATCCGGCACCGAGATTTTGGGCGTTTTGATGTTCAGCTTCGGCATCCGGAACTTGGGGCCTTTCCATTTCCCCTCCGCCCCTCCCGCCTCCACCTCCGGCCCTTCCACGTCCACCTCCGGCCCGGACACCTCCAGCTCGGCCTTGGGCAGGTCCACATCAACCTCTGCCCCCTCCAGCTTGGGCCCTGACAGGTGGAAATGGGGCAGCTTCATTTTGGGCATCTTCAGTTTGGCCTCCGGACACTCCAGCTCGACGTCCGGGGCCTCCGCGTCGATTTTGGGGCCCTTGAGGTCTCCTTCGACCTTGGGGAGGGAAACGTCCATCTCCCCTTTCACTTTGTGGCCCTTCAGGTTCAGGTCCACGTCCGGCATCGAGATTTTGGGCGACTTGAGGTTCAGTTTGGGCATCTTGAACTTGGGGCCTTTCACCTTCCCCTCCGGGCATTCCAAGTCCACCTCGGGCACCTCCACGTCCACCCTGGGACCTTCCACGTCCATTTTGGGAACTTCCACGTCCACCTTGGGACCTTTCACGTCCATTTTGGGGCCTTTCACATCCACCTTGGGACCTTCCACGTCTATTTTGGGGCCTTTCAGGTCCCCAGAGACCTTGGGAAGGGAAATTCCCGCCTCCCCCTTCAGCTTTGGGGCCTTCAGTCCCAGATCCACGTCCGGCATGGACAGTTTGGGGGTCTGAACGTTCAGTTCGGGCATTTTAAACTTGAGACCTTTGCCTTTCACCTCTGGCCCTTCGATGTCCACGCTGGGGACATTGACGTCCACCTTGGGGACGGAAACATCCACTTTGGGGCCTGAAATGTCCATTTTGGGGCCGGAAACATCCATTTTGGGGCCGGAAACATCCATTTTGGGGCCTGAAATGTCCATTTTGGGGCCGGAAACATCCATTTTGGGGCCGGAAATGTCCATTTTAGGGACAGAAACATCCATTTTGGGGACAGAAACGTCCACTTTGGGGCAGGAAACGTCCACCTCCCCCTTGGGAAGAGTCACCTCCACGCCGGGGGCCTCTCCCTTCACCCCAAACTTGGGCATCTTCAGCTTGGGGAACTTCAGTTTGCCCTCAGCTCCCTGGATGTCCACGTTGGGCCCTTCCACGTCGACTTTGGGGCCCTTGATGTCGAGCCCGGGGGTTTTCAGCTCCCCTTCCAGTTTGGGGGCAGAAACATCCAGGTCTGCCTTCACTTTGGGCCCTTTGAGGTTCAGGTCGATGTCGGGCATGGAGATCTGGGGGGTCTTGACGCTCATCTCGGGCACCTTCACCCCGGGGCCCCTCAGGCTCCCGTGGACGTCGCCGCCCTCGGGAAGGGCCACCTCGACCTCGGGGGCCTCTCCCTTCACCCCAAACTTGGGCATCTTCAACTTGGGGAACTTCAGTTTGCCCTCAGCTCCCTGGACCTCCAGGCCTGGGGCGACGACGTCGACTTTGGGGCCTCGGAGCTCCCCTTGGGGCCCCTCCAGGGTGGGCAGGGACGCATCGAGGTCGCCCCTGGGTTTGGCCCCGTTGAGGTTCAGGTCGACGTCGGGCATGGAGACCTTGGGGGCCTTGATGTTCATCTCAGGGGCCTTCACTTTGCCTTCTGGCCCTTGGATGGCCACGCTCGGCCCCTCCACGCCCGCCCCGGGCAGGGAGACGTCGACGTCCACCTCGGGGCCTTCGGCCTTGACCCCAGGCAGCCCAAATTTGGGCATCTTGAACTTGGGCATCTTGAACTTCCCCTCTGGGCCGTGGATGTCGACGTCAGGGGCCTCGATGTCCACCTTGGGGCCCTTGATGTCCACACTGGGGACGTCGATGTCCACCTTGGGGCTGGAAATGTCCACTTTGGGGACAGAAACGTCCATCTTGGGGCTGGAAACGTCCACTTTGGGGATGGAAATGTCCATTTTAGGGACAGAAACGTCCACCTTGGGGCCAGAAATGTCCACTTTGGGGCCAGAAATGTCCATTTTGGGACAGGAAACATCCACCTCCCCCTTGGGAAGAGCCACCTCCACGCCGGGGGCCTCTCCCTTCACCCCGAACTTGGGCATCTTCAGCTTGGGGAACTTCAGTTTGCCCTCAGCTCCCTGGACCTCCAGGTCTGGGGCGACAACGTCGACTTTGGGGCCTTTGATGTCGAGTCCGGGGGTTTTCAGCTCCCCTTCCAGTTTGGGGGCAGAAATATCCAGGTCTGCCTTCACTTTGGGCCCTTTGAGGCTCAGGTCGATGTCGGGTACGGAGATCTGGGGGGTCTTGACGCTCATCTCGGGCACCTTCACCCCCTCCAGTTCCACTTGGGGCCCTCTCAAGTTGCTGTCGATGGTTGGGATGGAAAAGTCGACCTCTCCCTTCGACCCCTTCACGGCCACGGCCACGTCTGGGCCCTTCACCTGCCCCCCAAAATCCACCTGGGGGGCCTTCACGTCCACCTGGAGCCCCTTGGGGCCGAGTCCTGAGGGGTCCCCTCCTCCTCCTCCTCCTGCCCCCACCTTGGGGATGGTGACCCCCCCTGGGTCCCCCTTCCCCTGGGGGCCTTTCAGGCTCAAGTTCACGTCGGAGAGGGAAATCTGGGGGGTCTCCCCCTTCATGAGGGCGGGACCTTCGCCCTCGGGCAGCGCCACGTCCAAGGCGGGGCCGTCCCCCCGCGAGTCCCGGGCGGTGAATTTGGGGAAGGGCAGGTGTGGGATCCGGACCTTGCCCTTGGCGCCCTCGGGGTCCAGCTGAGGGGAGGGGACCTTCCCGGCCGCGTCACAAGGTGGGGACACTCCAGGCCCCGTCACCTGCACGGTGACATCCGCGTGGGGGGCTGGAGCTTCCCCGCCAGCCCCGAACCCGAATTTGGGGATTTTTAAGGTGGGAATCTTGACCTTGCCCACGTCCACCTCTCCCTGGACACAGGGGGTTTGTCCCTTGCCGTCCAGCCTGGGCCCCTTGACGTGCAGTGCCACCTCCAGCTCTCCCAACTGCCCGTTGGTCTCGGCCCCGGGCGGCGCCGGGAACGCTCCGGAGCCTTTCTGGGCGGCTTTTCCAGTTTCTCCGGCGGGGATGTGGCTCTCTTGATGAATCCTCAGCCCTCCTGTTGGTTCTGGGATGGGGATGGCGGCGTCGGCGGCCCCGCCATGCCGGCTGACGTCCACGGTGTAGGCCGTGACCTTCCTGGTGACCGTGATGGTTCTGCTCTGCGTCCCCGCCCCGGCCTCGGCGTCCACTCCCTCCTCCGACTTCAGCCGGGGTTTGATCTTGGTGGTGTAAATCCTACGGTACTCCTCGTCATCTCCGCTCTGGAAGAGAGAGAGGAGGTGCCCATCAGCATCTCCACTGCCTGAGCCTTTTTTCTCCCTCACCAACCAACATCATCAACCACCACGGTCACCACCGCGCTCTTCTCTCGCTCCCCTCCATCACCACCCACGGTCACCACCTTTCCCCCTTGCTCCCCTCCCTCACCATCACTACCCACCGTGGTCACCACCTCCCTCCCCATTCCCTCCCCATCACCATCGTCATCCACCACAGTCACCATCACCCTCCCCCCTCGCTCCCCACACTCACCATCACCACCCAGCATGGTCACCACCTCCCTCCCCCCTCCCTCACCATCACCACCATCACCACCCATC